TATATATATATATATATATATATATATATATATATATATATATATATGCATATAATTCTGGCAGAAACCTGGGTATAAAAGACAGTATGCAGCGTAGTGCCGTGCGCACAGATAGTCAAAATGAAGGGATTGACCCTTTGCTGCAAGTGCATTGTACCTGAGCTGAGCAAATGGCTTAAGCGTGTTCACAACGCGCCCGGGTGGCTGACTGAATACCCTTCGCTCGGGTGGAGGGTCAATTTGACCTCCTGAGATCTCGGAAACCAAGATAGCCAGAGACACTAAGCTCACAATGTGGATTGATCTGTACGTGAACTCACTTAGGTCCAAATTTGAAGTTTCTAGGGAGGATCTTTGGGTCAAATAAAATCAAACAAGTTCAATCTTCAGATTGGTGTCCAAGTGCCCCTAGAACTTCTCAATCAACCACCGTGAAGCTAGATACTTGTTCTAGCCACAAGGTCAATGAGGTAGTGACCTCTTCTGATCTTAATAAGGTCAAGTTGCCAAAACGCCTACGTGATTGCTACTATTTTGCTATTAAAATAAGCGTCAGGGATTACACTAGACGGTATGTCACTAAAACAAAATGTTGGTCTGAGTCATTTTAGGTCAGTGACCTACTCTGACCTTAAAGATGTCCATGGAACATGCCTGTTGCAGTCCCTGTCATTAATAAATGCGAAATGAGCTATAATATATTATAGCTATTATATAGCTATTATATAGTTATAATATATAGAAAACTACCCGGTATAGCCATGCTCTCGAGTAAAAGCGCAGATTGTTTTTGACTTCGTTCTTACCTCAATACCTGACTCTGTATCAATGGGATCGGTTGTAATTTTAATCAACTTTGTTTGTTATCTAACAAATTACTTCAGACATGTATGGCTTCGTCTAACACTGTTTTCGCATAATGATGAACGACTCCCAAGAGATGCCCTTCGCTGACAGCCATGGCCTGACTTCGACCTGCCGCAGGTTAGCGACCTTGCAAGGTACATCTAATTTTTCACATCAAAGTATCCGCTTTCCAGTTCTCCACAGCTATGAAAGTTTGGTGTGGCTACGTCACGCTGTATGGAAATCATTCCAGGAAAACTTGCGGGGGTCAATTTCGTCTCTCACCCGAGCGCGTGTTAATGTATAATGCATGTTTCTTTAAACGATTTATAGCGGGTTTTAATCTACTATCTATATACATCAATCTACTATCAACCTATAGCGGGTTTCTTATCAGTTATTGGCGACAAGAGTTCAGTGACAGACATGACACGAAATTTTAAGCGCCTTCACTGCCCCGATAATAAAGCCATGCGTGCGGCATCTTGGTTTGTTTCACATTGGACGCACATGAGCCATTATAGTCACACGTACCTGACTCGACGGTCTCCATGAAGTTGAGACATGTGTCTCTCCACTGAAAACGCAACAACGTCCGAAAGGCGGTATAGAACATCGGCGAGATTACAGGCACGGAGAAGCTCCAGCTCATACTTTGCACACTGGCATGTCTATCCGCTCCTCCTTAGAGCTATGGTACAGCCATCGTCTTTGCTGACCAAACGTATGCATAATCTGATTGTCCCCACCCTCGCAGCTGAAAGGAGTGTTTTTGCAGAGGCTTGACTATGTTCTCAGTGTTAGCCATGCTGACGAGGACAAGAGGCACAGACGACCGGGAATCCTTGATAGCAAATCGTCTGGAATACAGAGTTGATCTATATTTTTTTTCCAAAAGATCCTCTCGCTCCAAGGTACATTCACAAAGTTTAGAGTTGTAAGATAAAGACTCTTCGCAAAATTTTGACGAACTGTCATAAAAAATACTGGATGTTTCTTAGCTTTATCAAAGAATCCCTCGGAATGCAACGCTGCGTTATACAATTTCTGAACAACTTTTTCAGTTTACTTATGTGAGGATGCCCAACTTTTTAAAACAAGCTTGAAACAGACCATATCAAAATAAGTTACCCCATGTTCATAATTTACGCTGTTAACTTGGAACAGGTTGAAAACATTACACTATCTGCCGCCCCTTTACCGTCACATATTACTCATTTTAATGACACTTGACGGTCCTGAAGCAGGTCCATTGGTAATAAGAAAATTGCAAGGCTTACATTACACCTTTGCAAATCTGCTTGTACTTGCAAGTAAAGTTAAAATAGACATAACACAATGCCATTCAACATGCATGCAATTTCAGTACAACTGATGCTCTGGTAATGCTCTGGCCACAGGTTGTAGTTTGGATCGGTTTAACCTGCAAATAACACGATCTGCATTAGGAATAAGCAATCCCGTGCGTTTAACACGTTGCAAAACCAGTGCAAATTGCAACCATGTGCAGCACTAACTCGTTGGTATGAACTAACGTCAGAGCACGTTTGCGACCAACGTTTTTAACAACTGCAAATGTGTAGGACGGACTAAGAATAACTTTAACTGTAAGCATGGTGTCTGGTGAATAAAGTTTTCACGGGTGCCACTAATATTTCTAATCATTTGCCAGAGAACGGAGTGAGACAAGGACATAACTTGGTCCCGAATTGTAAACCAACAGTTGCATACATATGAGCAAGACGCATCGTTTCTTGTCGGATCTATCAAAATAGCTGCTTGAGCGGAGTGTTGCACATGTGTAAAGATATTTAAACCGGGATAGATGTTTGAAAATTATTTGATGCGGTTCACAGCCCTGCCCTTTTGGGATTTAAAACTTTGTTTTTTTAGTTAGACGCTCACGAATTTTTGCAAACCATCTCGTGCGGACTATTTCAAGATCACCAAGGCATACATGACGCAGTAAAAGTATTACTCAAATACTGCCACCCCATTGGCCATAGGGCGTTCAAGGCGATGACAAATGTAGTCGTCGAGTTATTCGTGTCTGCCGTACGTGAGCACGAGTTTGGAAGCATAGGGTTCCAACTGACTTCTAACCATGCTATGGATTTATCTCCGCCCATGTTTTGCATTGAATGTAAGTTTCAAACACGGCTAGCTGCTTGGATTAAACTCCTTTCGACCAGAAATGATCATTTCAGCGCTTTGGGACGAGCGAGAATGAATAGCAGTGGGGCAGAACCACACGCGCCGGAGGGGCCAACCGCCAAGCTCTAGCCTGCGTAAAAACTTTCCTTTTGGTTGCTCTTTTTCATAAAATCGCTGGAAAGACCACAAGATATGCACCCGTGGCTTATCAATCTGTACCAAAGAAATTACCATATAAAAAACCCAAGCTCTGGCTAGACTGTCATGCCACTGTAGCACCCAGCACCCTTATTGGTTTTACCTTGGTACCTTGGATCGACATGCACAGTACATGAAGCAGTCATTCACATGTTAAAGTATTCCGCTTTTACATAAAATCTCTAGGTTAAACAAACAGCAGCAGTTTTTTGCTTGCAATCTTTGCAATCACAAACTTTGTCACAATAATATGAAAGAACTGATTTTCCCCCTCAAACAGTCCGTGCGCAGATATTTCCGTGAACTTGATGCATCCTTCTTCCAGTACACCCAGAGAGCGGCGAAAAGCGCTCTCCAGGTGCATTGGAAGAAGGAAGCTCTCCAGGCGTGGTCACGTGTTGTCCATCAGGCAACACATGGTCACGCCATGCTTGGAGCATGCCTAAGGCCTAAGGTGGAGAGTTTGATGACGGTTGGAGTGAGGCTCGAAGCGCACACGTGGTTTTTTAGGAGGACATGGCCTTGAGGAGGCCCGCATATTGGACGTCATCCCCAGCGTTGCCTGCCAATGGTTCGAGTTATGGCATGAATTTAGCTCTCCTATCCATCGAGGCCCTATGTTTTCATAACAATAAATGAGTTTCAAACGGTGCAGCGCAGCAAAGCCAAACTTCGCGCATCTGTAGAAAGCTGAACGACAGATTTTATAAGGCTATCACATAAATAATTCTTAGGGCTGGCTTTCAGCAAATCAAAGTCAGATCATGAGTGCCATCAAAGCATAATTACAAATCGTCTTAAGTTTTAAAGGCTAAAGTACCTAAATTAACCACACCTGCCGAATATGTAGTGGCACGATATTGTTTTTAAAACTCATGCGTCCGTATTTTTCCAGCATTTTGCAAGTCAAAAAACAGTTTTGAGAATTCAGCCAAATGTGCCGCCAACCTTTGCTGACCAAAAGGGCAAGCGTAGAAAATTGTCTTTAACAAAATCCCGATTGGTAACAGGTCTCATGTTGTTTATTGAACCCACTGAGCCAAGTCAAAGATCGCATTTTGCTGAAATCTACTTTCAGCTTTGCATGCTGATATCTGGAAATTCTTCCCAAGTAAATTCTCACGACATCTCACCCCGTCTTATGATCTCGCACCTCCATCCCTGCTATTTTTCTAGGCTTCAGTGAGGCCGAATTAATTGCCACCCGAGTGTGTCCTATTCAGGCGACCGCCCTTGTGTTTAACATTTCAAGCATTTCCGGCCACTCCGACAAGTTTTCCTTGTTCCGCTGTCAGTTTTAACGGGTCAGGAGTCTCTACCGCGCCTAAACGCATTCTTGTATTCCATGAAATCATCCTTCATGTGTGTTGCTGTTATCCAATCACCTTGCGGCTACGGTGTGACCGAGGTCACAGGACACTTGGCTGGACCCTGAGTGACCAATCCGAGCCTCGATCTGTCAAGCGATCTCTTACCCTGCGAAGCAACAGGTTACAGCGGTCCTGCGACAGCTGCTCCCTGCTGCGCCCGGGGCGGCAGCGGCTGCGGCTGCGGCTGCGTGACGCCGACCGGCAGTCCAAGCTCTGCCAGCAGCCTGAGGCTGTGTCGGTAGTGCAGGCAGACCGGTCTTTCGTGGTTATTTGCCGGCTGTCTCCTGGCCTGCCGGACAACGCAGCCAGCCCGTCTCCGTCTCCCGCCGCCGAAGTCTGGCGAGCTGTCTCCGCCGCCGAAGTCTGGCCAGCCGTCCTCCCGCCCCCGCCCGCTGGCGCTCCGGCAACAGGCGCCGTGGCCGATATAGCCCGGATAGTTGCGGCCGCTGCTGCGGGCTATCCAGGCCGGGCCAACCGCCGCCGCTGCCGCTATCCGAGCCGGGCCAGCAGCCGCCGCCGCTGCCGCTATTCAGGCCGGGCCAGCGGCCGCCGCCGCTGCCGTATTCAGGCGGGCCACAGCCGCCGCCGCTGCCGCTATCCGAGCCGGGCCAGCAGCCGCTGCCGCTGCCGCTATTCAGGCCGGGCCAGCGGCCGCCGCCGCTGCCACTATTCAGGCCGGGCCAGCAGCCGCCACCGCTGCCGCTATTCAGGCCCGTTTGCCACCGCTGCCACAGAAGTCAAGGGCTGCACGCTGTACCAATGTTTGTGGGCACAAAGCACTATTTTAGTATTTTAGGTTGCGGCAAAATTACGGGTGACGTCATTTTGCTTTCAAGAGATCATCGGTCACAAACAGAGTAATAGCCAACTTCGCGTCTAACATTGAATTAGATGCTTATCCACGGCTCAAAAGGATCGAACTAGTTTTCTAGGTCAGAATAACCACCCCACAACTCATGTGGTAAGCGAGCGTTGATCCCAGGATTTCTCTACCCGTGATAAAAAGCATTCAGCTTGTGGAAATTGAAAATATCTCCGGAAGCAGAGTTGTCATCAGAAGCAGGGAGGGCATTTCACTTCTATCTTTGCTCTGGCGGCCTAAATTTGAAGAGCGTGGTTACAGGGTACGCTGTCCTTAATTCTAGTGCAGATATCTGTCTGTTCAAACTTAACGGCGCCAATCGAGTCCAATGGTTTAAACCGTTTCCCTTTCCTTGCAGCATTTGTGCAAACAGTTCATGAACATAACGTTTACGAATCAATAGGGGCTTGTCGACTGAGCACACCGGACCGGACGCCTCAAATCACCGGACCCAAAAGTCGGGACCAGACCCTCAAATCACCGGAACGGGCTCCAATAGTCGGGACCAGGCCCCTCAGATCACCGGAACAGGCTCCAACAGTCGGGACTGGACCCCTCATATCACCGGAACAGGCTCCAACAGTCGGGACCAAACCCCTCAAATCACCGGAACAGGCTCCAACAATCGGTACCAGCGCGCAGCATGCCAGATCAGGTACAACACATCAGAGTGGGCCCCAATACATCTGACCGGACCCCAAGATACTGAACCAAACCGCAACAAAGCCGACCAGCACAGCACACACCGGATGGAATTCCTATGTGCCAAACTAAACTCTAATGCACTGGACCAGGCCTGAACACTGGATCAGGCCCCCACAGACCGGGCTGGATCCCCAGCGCATCACACGAGATCTGAACACATGGGACCTGACCCAGCACACCGGGCCGGACCCGAATACATCCAATCAAACTCCAGCACACGAGACCAAGCCAGGAGAGCAGAACACGCCGGCCCAGTCACAACACAATGGACCCATTCAAACGCATCGGCCCAAATCCCACAGCACCGAAACACGCACTAGCAGACCGGACCTGAACCCAGCACACAACGCATCAACGCATCGGACCAGCCTCAAATTCATCTCGCCAGGCCCGAAAACACCAAACCGGGCCTCAGCGCACCAGACCGGCCCCGAACATACCGGACCAGACCCAGTCTCGATCTCGTCGGCGAGTGTGGCGCGTGCGCTGTGAGCTGTCGTCGGTGGCGACGGTAGCGTGCGACGCTGTGGCCCACGCCAACGGCCTTTCCGCCAGTCTGCGCCGCGGGGCCGGGGTGGCAGGTCGGGAGTGGCGCATCGGCGAGCGTGGCTGTGTGTGTGTGTGTATGTGCTTGTGTGTAGCGGTCATAGCTCGCAGAAGACTGCAGCCGAGAGAGATCAGGACCTGTGCGAGGAGACAAGCTACAGCGACAACTCAAGTCATTCGGAGATGGAAGCTTCCTCCGCTTCCGTGCGTTCCGAGCCGACTAAGGGTGTTTCTGAGCCCAGCCGCGGTGGGTAGCACCCTCAGCCGACATGCGCCGTCCGCTGGTCACGTCCACAGGTCTGTACAGCTTCGCGAACTGGTCGCAACCGGGTGCAGAGGGAAGGCATGTCAGCGCCTCCGCATTTCCACTGCGCCCGTACTCACATGTATGCCTCAATCAGTGCGCATCTACCTTACAAAATGCTGTGCGTCTCTCTGCGTATGTGCCGGTGATGCAAAAACGCATTGTCGGAAATCCTGACCTCCGGGTCTGTCCTTGACCGTCCTGCACACCTGACCTCCGAGTCTGCCCTTGACCGTCCTGCACACCTGACCTCCGAGTCTGCCCTTGACCGTCCTGCACACCTGACCTCCGGGTCTGCCCTTGACCGTCCTGCACACCTGACCTCCGAGTCTGCCCTTGGCCGTCCTGCACACCTGACCTCCGGGTCTGCCCTTGACCGTCCTGCACACCTGACCTCCGGGTCTGCCCTTGACCGTCCTGCACACCTGACCTCCGAGTCTGCCCTTGACCGTCCTGCACACCTGACCTCCGAGTTTGCCCCTGATCGTTGCCGAAGGAGCGCAGTGCAATACAGGCCGAGCTTGACTTAACAGGTCACACGGACAGCTGTCGCGACTCGTTGGTCCCTAATCGGTTGCCTGAGCTCACCGTGATCGAAGCAAGACTTAAGCTAAACGATTCGACGTAGCTGACTGGGACTCACAAAGCAAATTTGATGCTGTCAGCGCACAGTGTCATCAACACTGCGGACATACACGGAGAGGTTTTAACCGTAACAAGAAGTTAAAAATAACACGGTGCACCTTAAACAGATACATATTTTATAAGTGTGGTGTATGTGATTTTAAGTGATACGGAGCCTGAAAAATAAGACAACTACTCAAACCACCGCCAAGACATCCAGTGGGCCTCCATTTGCGCTCTGATGGTGGCGTTCGAAGCGCACGTACTAATATTTGGACTCTCTTTTTGACCTTACGTAAATTAATTGGTTGATATTCTCCACAGTCATAGGAAGTTCCGGGAAACTTTAGAACTAGCTCGGAACGTGGAGCAAGTAAACAGTACTGCTTTTTTAATTTGCGCATGCAAGCTGTCTGCCTTCAATTAATTTAGTATCCAAAAGAAGGAACATTAACGAGAATGCTTAAAGGAAAATCGTTGCCCGGACCTTTTCTCAGATTTACTGTTGCGGAACGGAGCAAAAGTCATGATGCTTAAAGAAATTCCGTTTGCAGCCAACAGACAAGAATCAATGTATATACCTACGGTCACCTGCAGCGCTGTGTTTAGTTGACCCAGCCCTAATGCTGGAGCTACGAGTGATGTAACTGGGGATACCACAATGGGGGGTACCATATTTGAAAGCACCGCATCCTCCCACTCGGCTCCGTTTTAAACCAAGATTTCACAGGATGGCGCAATAAAGAGGGAACGCATGGCAATCTGCACATAAATAGTAATCACACGAGAATTAACTCCATAAAAGAATTCACCCTTCTAATTAACGTCAAAAGCTGTGAACAAAGTGATACTTCACTCCGAAAAACAAAAGCTCGCTCTAGCATTCCGATTTTCCGTCGGTCCAGCCGCATGTTTGCGGAACAACCGGAACGCATGGTGAACGACACAGTCCACACTGCACGGGGCCCATCCGGCACGAGACCGCTGCTGTCCGGCCCCTGAGGACGTCCTGGGTCAGCCAGACGTCATGCGAGAGTGGGGGTTGGGCCTCCCGTCCGACAGATGGCAACGCGCGCTTACCCCCAGGTGGCGACGCTGGGTACCGCCTCCTCTCGCCGCGGCTAAATTTAACCGCCCGGGGCGGTGCCGCCGACCGCAGCAGCGCGACGCACCAGTGGCCGTCTGCCGGGGCGCGGCGTCGGGCCGCCGACGGGTGCGGTGCTGTGTGGTGACGGCGCGCGTCGGGGGTGCCCGGCCGACAGCCGGTGACGGCCGACACGCCCAGTGACGAGGTGCAGGAGTGGAATGTTCCAAAACGGCTGCTGCAGTGTAGCGCAGCGAGTGCTCCGTAACGGCTGATGCAGTGTAGCACGTCGAGTGCTCCGTAGCGGCCGCTGCAGTGTAGCACAGCAAGTGCTCCGCAACGGCTGCTGCAGTGTAGCACATCGAGTGCTCCTTAACGGTTACTGCAGTGTAGCACAGCGAATGCTGTGGGGCGACTCCCGTGGCGCGTACCTGCTGTGCTCTGGAGTCGCTGTTATTGGGAACGCCTGGGGTATTTCGTGGCGCCTCCTGGTGTTCAGCACTGGAGTGGTCCGGTGATAGCTGCTGCCAATGCTGCTGAAGTACACAGTGACGGCTCTTGTTGTGTAAGGTCAGTACTGCTTCGTGACGGTTGCTGTCCTGGATCGCCCGGAACGCCCTGTGACAGCTCCTGTCTGATGCCTCCTGGAGCGTTCAGTGACGGCTCCTATCCGAAAGCTTCTGAAGCGTTCAGTGACGGCTCCTGTCCGAAAGCTTCTGAAGCGTTCAGTAGCGGCTCCTGTCCGAAAGCTTCTGAAGCGTTCAGTGACGGCTCCTGTCCGAAAGCTTCTGGAGCGTTCAGTGACGGCTCCTGTCCGAAAGCTTCTGAAGCGTTCAGTGACGGCTCCTGTCCGAGGGCTTCTGGAGCGTTCAGTGACGGCTCCTGTCCGAGAGCTTCTGGAGCGTTCAGTGACGGCTCCTGTCTGAAAGCTTCTGGAGCGTTCAGTGACTGCTCCTGTCCGAGAGCTTCTGGAGCGTTCAGTGACGGCTCCTGTCCGAAAGCTTATGGGGCGTTCAACGACAGCTCCTGTCCGAAAGCTTCTGGAGCGTTCAGTGACGGCTCCTGTCCGAAAGCTTCCGGAGCGTTCAGTGACGGCGCCTGTTCGGTGGCTTCTGGAGTGTTCAGTGATGGCTCCTGTCCGAGAGCTTCTGGAGCGTTCAGTGACGGCTCCTGTCCGAAAGCTTCTGGAGCGTTCAGTGATGGCGCCTGTCCGAAAGCTTCTGGAGCGTTCAGTGACGGCGCCTGTTCGGTGGCTTCTGGAGTGTTCAGTGACGGCTCCTGTCCGAAATCTTCCGGAGCGTTCAGTGATGGCTCCTGTCCGAAAGCTTCTGGAGCGTTCAGTAACGGCGCCTGTTCGGTGGCTTCTGGAGTGTTCAGTGATGGCTCCTGTCCGAAAGCTTCTAGAGCGTTCAGTGATGGCGCCTGTCCGAAAGCTTCTGGAGCGTTCAGTGACGGCGCCTGTTCGGTGGCTTCTGGAGCGTTCAGTGATGGCTCCTGTCCGAAAGCTTCTGGAGCGTTCAGTGATGGGGCCTGTCCGAAAGCTTCTGGAGTGTTCAGTGATGACTCCTGCGCAGGACGCTGCCTGTCCTGCGAGTGGTCTCGCAGGAGGTAATGGAGAATGGGTTGCGGTTTAGATATCGTTCATAGCGAGCTCCGTGCGGAAAATCGCCGACAAACATTCGATTAACTGCGACTTGGTGGAGATCTGGCCGTCGTTCAGATCTCACACATTTGGCACTGGCTGATTTGGCTGGATCAGCCCAGACGCTGTGCGGTGAACGGTGCGTGCATTTGCACAGCTTTCGCGAGCAGTAGCAACGTCAAAGTTCGGCTTCGCAGAACAGGTGAGTTGAGAGGGCAAAAGGGGCTGAATGATCGCGGGAACGGAGTAAAACCGGCGAAATAATATAGGGTGCCTTTCACTTGCGCCAACCGAACCTACCTCAGCCGCACTACCGAAGCTGTATCAAAACGAGGTTAGTGATTAGGTCATTTATAGCCACTGTAACCAAATGCACTTCATCCTGTGACCTCATTTAGTCAGTGACTGTAAAGGGACAGTCACTGTGACCGCACGCACTTCATCCTCTTGTTGTTTGCCTTTCCTGCGTTCCGTGCTGCGGGTGGCGGGAGCCCTGCCGTCCCAGGCGACGGGTGGTAGGAACCCTGCCCTCCTGTCGCACCGCCGTTTGACATGTCGCAGCAGTTGAGTTTACTCAGCTGTTTGCGCACGACCGCTGGGACCGTGTATCTCGTGTATCGTGACGAGACGCGCCGGAGTGCTAGAGCGGCGCACAGACTGGGTCGGCGCACCGGAGTGCTAGAGCGGTGCGCAGACTGGGTCGGCGCACCGCAGTGCTAGCGCGGCGCGCAGACTGGGGCGGCACACCGGAGTGCCAGGTCGGCGCAGACTGGGTCGGCGCACCGGAATGCTAGAGCGGCGCGCAGACTGGGTCGGCGCACCGGAGTGCTAGAGCGGTGCGCAGACTGGGTCGGCGCACCGCAGTGCTAGAGCGGTACGCAGACTGGGCCGGCGCACCGGAGTGCTAGAGCGGTGCGCAGACTGGGTCGGCGCACCGCAGTGCTAGAGCGGCGCGCAGACTGGGTCGGCGCACCGGAGTGCTAGAGCGGCGCGCAGACTGGGTCGGCGCACCGGAGTGCCAGGTCGGCGCGTTGACTCATCAGGCTAGCAACGTCTCGTCATCAAGGAATTGCACGTGCACGCCACTCAAGTCGCCCGTCGAGGGTGGGCTTTTTGATGAGCGATGACGGTATGCCACTGCCAATATGCGTCTCGTTTCCCGAACGCGGCGTGGAAGTACACATGTTGTTTATTCCGATGCTATCGGGCCGTCATGGGCAGCTCTGGTTTCTTTGGTGGTCTCTTGGAGTGCTTTCATCTACCAACCGTGAGTCACGAAAATGGTTCTCAGCTGTCTCGAGACGAGCCCCAGGAAAAGGGATGGTCGCGGCTGCGTCTCTTGCCCCCGGAGACAAGGTGGGCACCACTAAGGCTCTTGCCTGCGCCCCCCCCCCCCCCCCCACGGAGACAGAGAAGTCACCGTTGCGTCTCCTGCCCTCCTCCCCCCAAACAGGGTGGCCACCGCCGCGTTTCTACCCCGCCCCAGAGGCAGGGTAATCACCGCTGCCTCTCCCGCTGGTCCTGGCAATGTCGGCGGAGGGCAGGTACTCGACCTCTTTCATTCATTCCGTTCCAACACAAAGCCTGGGTTAGAAACGAATCCGCAGTCTATTCTATCACACAGCGCGACAGGGTCTCTGTGA